TACTTTTAGGGAGGCTCAAAAGGCTTTAACCCCAAGAAATAGAGCTAATCTGTGCAGGGCCAGGGCTAGACCCTGCTGCCTGTCTCCCAGGCCTGCAGCCCTTCCTGCCCCCTCTGCCTCCTCAGCCTTCACTCTGATGCCAGAGGCCCTTCTTTTCACCCAGAGTCTGCCCACATCCTGGCATAGGTGATCTCTATAAATGTGTGCTCTTGCTGAATCAGTGTGGCATGTTGGAGCCAGCAGGAATCATGGGACCTCATGCATATACACTGCTTTGTAGATGAGGAAACAGGGGCTCGGGACTCACACAAGGGCTCCTTTTATAACAAGAATAGTACTACTAACAGCAAAAAGTAATAGTTCCCCACTGCCTCCCAGGGGGAAAGTTCCAGGGTCTGCTCATGAACCCAGGGTGGTGCCCAGACTAGGCCTTCTTTGTCCTCTGCTTTCCTAGTAGATTGTGGGCAGTCAGAATCCTAGAAGGTTTGGACTGGGGAGGGTCTCAAGGCTGGGGGCAGAACGGGCTCCTGGGCCTGTAGGGGAGCTGGCCCACACCGCGGCTGTCCCCCCCTCTGCAGAGTCATTGGACACTCATCAAGCCCCAGCCCAAGTCCTGAATGAGACCCAGTGGGCAGTGGAGCGCCTAAGATTGCAGCTGCACCCACCAGGGCCCCTCCAGGGGAAACTGAGGCTGTTGGAGCAGGAGTCCGAGCAGCAGGAGCTGCAGATCCAGGGTTTTGAAAACGAGCTTGCTGAGATACGCGCTGACAAGCAGAACTTGGAGGCCATTCTGCACAGCCTGCCTGAGAGCTGTGCCAACTGGCAGTGAGGGCCACCCAGACCCCTGCTGTCCCCGGCCCAGGGCAAGCCCCCCGCCCACCCAACAGGGTGCCCATGATGGCCAGCCCACCAGAGCTTGCTGCCGCACATCCGCCAACTACTCACACACCTGTCCGAGTCCATGCCCAATCCCCCTCCATCCCACAGGATTGAGTGTGCGTGTGTGGTTTGCTCAGGTAGCCACTGTGCACACGACCCCATCCGCATGCACTCCGTGCCATGCATGCATAAACAAGCGTGCCCCCGGTGTCAGTAACACGTACACATTGTGGGCACTTGCCTGTGTGTGTGGCACATGTATACAAGTTCATCTCTGCACACACATTACAGGTGGTCCACAATTGTTTATTGAGCACCAGCTGTGTGCTGTGCCCCCTCTGGATGCTGGGTAGTTAGGTTAAATACCCTGTGCACCAACAGATTCATTCTTGTTCCTGAAAGCAGGGACCCAGGCAGGGTAGCCACCTAGGAGGTTGACGGGGGGCCATCTACAGAGATCCGGGCTGGCCTCAGCAAGAGCCAGAGCCCCCAGTCCCAGAGCTCCCCTCTGTCCTGCTACAGGCCCCCAGTCTGTCCCGTGCCATGCACACCCAGCAGCTCTGCACTGCTGAGGGACCAGGCAAGCCAAGAAATACAAGATCCTAGAAGAGTTCTCAACAGTAGAACTGGGAGCTCAGGGGCCACGGTGCAGCCTGCTAGGAACTGCCAGGGGGATGGTCCACCCTGCCCTTGCTTCATGGAATTATCATTGGCTTCATGGAATCCTTTGTTCTCAGGATCCCAGGACTGGGCCAGACATACCGAAGGATTTTCCTGCTCTGGGGCCAGTGCCCCTTTTAGCCTGTGGCCTGTCCAAAGAACCAGGCCTCAAGGGCCTGAGGAGACCTGTGTCAGGAAACCCAGGTCGCTGGGAGTTCCCCTTTGTGACCCCACTGACCCTGCTTGGCCATTGACTGATTGACACTCCTCAAACTGGTCCTGCGGCTCCACCTGCCACAAGGGAGGCCCTCGCTGAGCATGGAGGCCTGGCTGCCCTTCCAGTCTGCCCTGCAGGGGAGTCCCCTGTGGCCAGGCCCCTGGCAGCCTCTGCCCAGGATCGTCTGGCATTTCCTCCTGAGACTCCTCCCCTCTCCCAGGCCTTCTTCCAGCAGACAGCAGGGCCTCGGCCCTGGACAATGGGTGTCTCCGGGCCCACCCCGGCTCTTCATGTCCCTGACTGTGGGACAGGCAGCAGCATGGGCCAATTCTGTTTGACATGGAAATAAAGGGCCCCTTTACTCGGTGGGTGATGTGACTTTGGTCCTCCCATGCAACAGGGGCCCTGGCTGTGGGTGCAGACTCCTCCCCAGCATGTGGGTACACACGGCATCCCTCGAGTGAGTGCACACACCCAGCGCCCAGTGGTCCATCAGCCCACATGCAGTAGCAGGAAGGGGGCAAAAGCTGAGCTCTTGGGCTTTGCCAGGGTCCCCCTGGGGAGGGGGCTTCACTAGGGTCCCATGACCACAGGTACCTGCCCTCTCCCTTCTGGTCTGGGGAGGTGATCAGGCAATAATGTTTAGGGGAGTCTGAGGGGCGCGGTAATGAAGCCTTCAGTTGACCTCTGGTTCAGGCTGGAGATGCTGAGGCAGGAAACGGTGAACTCAAAACCAAGTGACTGTTGGCACAGAAAGGTTCAGGGAGGAGGAGGACGGGCTGTGGACCAGGCCTCCAAGGGTGGGGAGCTAAAGGGGGCATTCCAGGCGAGAGGGTGCACAACAGCCCAGGGTTTGCAGGGTGGGGGCCTGGCCCGCACGGATCACTCTGGAACCCGGGTTGTGTGGTTGGGATTATGGAGCATGCTCAGCTGGGGCTCAAAAAAGGAGTTCGTAGGGAGCACATGGGAGGCTCCCCTGGGATCCTGGGCTGTGAAGACAGGCTGGGGCTGGGGACTCTCTTCTTTGCCCCTCCCTCCTGCCACCCTTGGTCTCAGCCTCTGCTTCTCCCTCCATGTCTGCTTTGGTTTTTTCTCTCTGCAGAGCAGTTTTTCTTTGCTTTTCCTGAGCTTAATAGAAGAGGACGCCCACACTGATTCCCCAACCACAGCCCCCAAATTTACATATCATGTCAAATGCTTGGCACAGACAAGCTGGAGACTCTCCCGATTCCACCTATCCAGGAGAGACCCACCCCACTTAGGCCATGGGTCTCCCCTGACTCCTGTCCAGAGTGGCAAGGGTCTCTGGGTCTAAGGGTGTATAATGAGAGCTGGGCTGTGCTCCCTACACACCTGCCCTGGGAGAGCATTCAGAGACTAGGTGTGCTCCCCTTCAAAGAACCTCAAAACCAAGGTGGCAGAGGGGGCTGGGGAAGATGGGCATAAGTCACCTGGGAGGGAGGGCCGGGCAGGGAGGCCAAAGCAGACGGCTGCTGCTCTACAGTGAGTCTGATCACTGGTGTCTAATGTACGCGGTGCTAAGGAGATGGGGTCCTTGGAAGACCCTGGAGCAGAGTGTGATGTCACCTGTCCCCTCCACCCACCTTCACTGCTGTCAGGGACACAAACCATTCTCATGCTGCTCTTGGCATTAAAACTTGTCTCGAGCTCAAGCTGTGGGGCTCAGCAAAGCCCAGTCTCAGCATCCCCAATGGGTGGAGAATAGGCCTCCTCTCCATTCCATGGTGATGTGTCTCAGGCTTGACGTCTTGTGATTCATGCAGTCCAGTCATGCCTGAAGTGTGCGGAGCCACTCTCTGGCCCCAGAGGTGGGGCTGCGGCAGGGTGGAATGTGGCAGCTGTTGAACATCTGGTTGGGGATGCAGCCCAGCAGCTGAGCAGTGGGAGGTGGGGTGGGCCTGCCCCGCAGAATGGCTGACTAGGATCAACCAGCCCAACTGGCCAGGGCACGAGCCTCCTGAGCCTGCCCTGGGAAGTGTGCCATGAGGGCCCCTTCTAAGTCAGCTCCTGTCTCTGGCTGCCAGATAGAACATTTCCCATCAACCAAGGGTTGAAACTCCTAAGCCCTTCTCCCCTCCAAGCTTTTATTATCTGCTTAAACCACCCTGAAAGTAATAAAAGTTACAATAGCCTCTACGTGGTGAGAAGTCCTTGTTTCCTCCATTCTGCAGGTCAGGAGATAGGCTCAGATAGGTCAAGTGCTTTGCTCAACGTCACACAGCTTGGCCAGTTCCAAACCTTAGGGGTGAATGGACACAAGAGAGGAACCTAGGAAAAGTAGGTCCTTACCATGCTGGGAGGTCGAGGCTGCTCCCTGAACTGCTGTCCTGGCATTAAAACCCACCGTGGGGTGTCCCGTTCTGCCCTTCCCCCTCCCCTGGGACACCCTGGCCTCTGCCCTTCCTGGGGCAACCACAGAAAAAGGGTGAGCTGGTGGCAGGATCCCAATCCTAGGGGTCAAGATGGAGACAAGTCTGTGGGGAAGGAGGCTTCCCAGATCTCATCCTGATTTGGACCAGAGACTTCCGGATTGCCCTGTAACCAGCGCTGCTTCCCGCATGCTGGGCCCGGCTCCTCAGGAGCCTCGGTTTATCGTCCCAGTGGACTCCAGGCTTCAGCTTCCCGACATTTCTTTTCTGTTAAACGGGAATAAGCCTTATTTGATAGAGTTTTGAGAACTTGATGACATAAATATATCCTGTACTGACCTGGCAAGTGCCTGGTGCACAGTGAGTGCTCAAGAAGTAGGTGTTACGCACAAAATACCAATTCGTTCTAATTGATTCAAAGCGTCACTGATGTCCTAGTGGCACTTTGTCGTTATGCATTTTTGCAACAAAAACAGTTTTTATTTTTCTTTCAAGAGTTCGAAATCAAGGTGGGGAAAGCCTTTTCCCTCTAGAAGCGCTCCAACGGGCACGCAGCAGCCTCGGCTCCGGGGGCGCTTGCTGCCTGCCGCTGGGGACGCGTGTCACCCTTACAGCCGCCCCCAAGTGCGTACTAAGGACGTCCCGCCTGCCTTCCGGGGGAACCGCGGCTCGGAGCGCCGCAGGGGCTGGTCGAGGGCCCGCGGGGCGCAGGGCTAGGCACCCGGCGCATTCTCCGCGTCCTCCAGCAGAGGGGCCGGCCGGCGGCTCGGCGGCCCGCATAATAGCCGCCTTGATGCCCGCGGCCGCAGCGGGAGGGGAGGCGGGCGGGGCGGGCGGGCGGGAGGGTGTGTCCGGCCGCCGCGCAGCCCTCCGCCCTCGTCCCTCGCCACCCGCCGCCGGAGCTCGGACCAGGCGCCTGGCGCTCTTCGTCCGTCGCCGCGGCCGCGCAGCCCGGAGCCGGCGGGAGCCTCGTGTTCACGATGTCGGTCGCGCTCAGCAACAGGTTCCAAGGTAGGTGCCGCCCCCCCCCGCCACCGCCCAGCACCCTGCCCGCCCCGGCTGCGGTCCCGCTGCCCGCGGCGCCGTGTCCCCCGCCCGCCACCTGCGCGGACGGGGCGGACGGCGGGGTCCGCGGCGCGCGGCCTGGGGAGCCCCCCGCCTCCCCGGCCGCCTCTTTGTCTCCTCCAGGAGGGAAGGCGTACGGCCTGCTCAAAGCCCGGCAGGAGAGGAGGCTGGCCGAGATCAACAGGGTAAGCGCGCGCGGCCACCCCCGCTCTCCGGCCCCGCCGCGCAGGGCCGCTCGAGAGTCGCCGGAACCGCGCGCCGCCCGTCCCCAAATCTCCCAAGGCCCCGGGGCCCACCTCCGTCTGCGAGGCTATGCCTGCGGCAGAATGGACCCCCTTCCTCCTCCGCCCCCGGGCTTTCCCCCGTTTCCTCCCGCCGCCCGGCCCTTGTGCCTCCGACTCCAGGTAGGTCCTCCTCCACCCGCTCGGGCGTCTCGGGTTGCAAGTTGTAACTCTTAGCGAGGTACGGCCCGAGCGCCGCTGGCCCGGGCTGCCTGGGACCAGCCGCAGGGATCTGGCGCCGGCACGGACTCCTGGTGTCTCGGGGCCGAGGGAGGGGAGGGGGCCGGAGAGGCGAGGGGCTGCCCTGGGATGGCACAGCAAGCCCGGGCCAGGCTGCTGATGGAACCCGGGGCTCCCAGCTCCAGCCTCCTGGAGGGTGTTCCCTCCACCACAGAAAACGCTGGCCTCCTGCCCACCCCCATCCCACCCACATGACTCTTTTTCACTCCAACTTTTAGGAAAGATGCCTTTAGAGACTTGACGCTTTTCTTGCTGGTCCTGGTGGACTTCTTTTTCTTTAAACTGTAGTGCCCTTGATATACAATCCTGGTGAATTTCTATGAAGAAATCCTTTCTGGCCCTTGCCAGGCACAGAGTAGAAGCTCCATAAACGTTTGCTTAATGACCAGATAAATTCTAGAAGATAAGGAAGAGTGTTAGGGCCTGGATTGGCCAAACTCAAAGGCAGCACAATCTGTGGCTCTAGGGTCTCCATCATGTACCAGCTCTGCTGTCTTCAGCCAGGACCTCTCAGCACAGAGCCCAGAGTCACTGGGAGGGCTCACTGCGGCAAGGCCTGGTGTGCACTCTGTCTGGCATGGGTACAAGGGAAGATCTCTGGATGGATCTATAATTATTACTTGAGGAGGGCGTCCCTCAAGTTCCTTCCTGACTGGTTGCAGAGGTTTGCCTACTGATACCAGACTGGGCATTCCCCCTGCTGGCTCCCTCTGGCCACTGGGCACCCAGGGTCTGAGCCCAGCTCAGAGTCCAAAAGTGGGAAGAGAATGAGCCAGGGTCCTGGTGGAGCCTGTGTGGAAGTGGGTCCTGGGGCTGTGGCAGTTGCAGTATTTTCTCTTGCCAGGGGCTTGCAGTCTTGATGCCCTCTGCCAAAACTACACAGCCTCTCTGATTTTATTCCACTGGCCATCCATGGAGAGCTCTGAGGACCCCAGGGTCCTTCTAAACAAACTCCGGACGCCTCAGTGCCACCCTTACCTTGCCTCTTGGTGCCAATTTGAGCACAGCTGAAAGGGAGTGTGGACAACTGGTGGGAGCTGTTGGGGGTCCAGCTGCCGGGCTCCCTCCCAGGTCACTCTGCAGCTGGCTCAGCCTTGGCCTTGTCTGCTCTTGCCCTTTGGACAGGAGCCTGGAACCCTGACCTCATACAGCTCCCTGGGCCACTGGGCCGGGCAGGTTCCAAGCTGGCTGAATCCACCCACAGCCACCATGACCCTGAGCCAAAGACAGCTGGAGATAGGGAGTGGGGAGTGTAGTTGGACAAACCACAGGAGCTAAGAGTGTATAAGACTTTCCGTGCCAAACCTGCCTTTTGGGGGGCAACCCAGGAGGAGGCTACAGGGTTGCTTGGGGAGGCGGACTGGCTTTAGCTCAGAAAAGGGAGATCTGCTGGTCTCAGGCTGATGTGGACAGCACTGGGCCTGGGGAAGGTGAGCAAAAAGGGGCTGTGTTGAACTACCTTAGGACCCCAAAGCCCAGAGAGGGCAAGCAGCTGGCTAAGGCCACACAGAAGCCAGTGGCAGAGTTTGAAGTCTAGTGTCCTTCCCCTGCCTGGATGCTATTCTGAATCCCACCATGTGAGCCCAGGCTGCTGCTGGGCTCAGGTCTGGGGCTCAGGTTTCCTGGAGGAAGGCTTCAGCTCCAGCATCAAACCAGAAGCGAGATCTGCTTCCCACGCAGTAGGTCAAGGTGGCCCACCACAGTTCAGTTATGAATGGGGGGACGGGGGCAGAGTACTCAGGCTCTATGACCTTTGCCAAGCCACTTGAGATAATGATAGTCTGGTGGTTGTGATTTTTCAGCATGATAATCTATTTTCAGCGTGATCGTCTATGTAAAGCAGGTAGGAGAGCTGGCTGCTGTTTTGATTGTTATCATCGGTTTGTTTGGGGCTTAAAGCTTCAGGGAGTGGAAACCCAGGGGCAAGATCTGAGATAGGCCGGGCCCATGCTGCCTGCTCAGCCCGGGCCAGACCCCTTTGTTGGGCAGAACCTTGGTCTTCCCCTGCCTGAGATGGGAGCAGCGATCCCCGCTCTGCTCCGAGTCCCCGCAACAATCGGGGGGATGAGCAGACGGGACCCCTTTGCAGACTCTGAGGCAGTCGCTCTGTTTGGGGGTCTGAGCTCATTCCACCCAATGCTGTAGCCACAGGGGAAGTCCCCTGGGGTGGGCAGATTTTAGAGGGGAACATTTTGGCAGCCCAGACTGCCTTTGTTAGGGGTGCAGCCCCACTGGAGCAGGGCTTTTTGGGGGCTGAGCTGAGCAGCCACCCAGTGACCCTTTGGAAGCAGGAAGGCCCAGAGGACTGGGTTTCATGCCTTCCTCACTGCATGTGTTTGTTTACCACTGTGGGTGCCGTCTGGGGCAGAGCCCAACCTGGCTGGCTGCTCTGGAGCCTTCTCTGGGCCAGCACCCCAGGTCCGCTGGGACCTTTCTCCTCCCATTTCCCTACAGAGGACAGCAAAGGAGCCCAGTCTTAGCTATTGTTATTATAAGGGCTTCAGGAGTGAAAACAGAACGAGACAGGGGTGGACCTCGAGGTCCTGTTGGGACTGTATGGAGACCCACTTGTTTGGTTTCACTGTAGTTTTTGCTATCACTGTCTGAGCCCTTGGCATGTGTCGGGCAGTGTGCCAGGTGAGCTTCGGGCATTATCTCACTACATGCTCATTCTAATCCTGTGAGGGTCTAATCAAATGAGACTCGGGTGGAGTAAATTGCTGCGGTTTAAACGGCCATAACTTGAAGCCAGTCTGTACTCTCAGTCTCTGAACTTGACTGGGTCTCCTCTGTGGGTGCCTGCCCCCACCTCCATGCCCTGTGTGCACGCACTTGCGTTCTCTGCACTACTGGAGCAGGCAGGACTGGCGCGCGCCTCCTACTCCCCCAGCATAGCTGACATTCTCTGCGCCCTGATGGCATGACAGGTGACCCCAGGCCAGCCAGGCCTGGCCTTATATGGCAATGGGACAAATTCTCTCCTGCTTCCCACAGGGACAGAGAGAAGTGGTGGGGTTGGGTGGGTGCCCCTCAGAGTGCCCTTACCCTTGGGACTGAGCAGGAGGGGCCCCAGGGACAGTGACGGCTGCAGCCTAAGCCTGCTGTAGGCCAGGATCTTTATCAAAATAACATGAATGGCGCCTCTGCTCGGTGCCCAGTGCTTGACATGCAGCATCTTGCTGACTCCTGAATGAAGCGCTTAATTAGATAGATGCCTAACGTGAATCTGGATGTTTACAAGGATTACTAGGTCTCCCGCTTTAGACATGAAGAAACAGAGGCTCAGCCAGGTGAAGTCACCTGCCCAAGGTCACCCAGCCAGGAAGTGGTAGAGCCGGGGTTCTGACTCCAGACACCACCTGTGGCCCGCCCTGGCCCCGGTCCACCAGGTGGCCATGGCCTAGCTGTGACACAGCCCTCTCCTACTTCAGTGGATAAGGATCTCTGGCTGCTGTCTCACCCTCGCAGCCCTCCTGGGTCAAATGAAGGGCACTTAGCATTCCCTGTACCGTTTAGGTATCATTATAATGGCTGTTTCATAACCTACATACCATCTGTGCTAGGAAGAGCTGGGCAGGGCAGGCTAGGTATCTCTGCTCAAGGGTTATATGTCCCCAGCCCTTCCTCCAGCAGGGGGACCCCTGAGACCTGACCCAGGCACTATGCCGGTGTGTGTCTTTTCCTGTGTACTGGCATTGCTGCCCTATCCCAGCCCTGGTGAATGTGCCCTGTTAGCATCACCAGCCACCCGTCTCTCTTGCTCTTCCTTAATATATTATAAGGGAGATGGTGATAAGCAGCCACGTGAGCCTCCAAGGATTCAGTGTCCCCACAGGTCCAGCCGGTCTCGACCTTGGTATGGCCTTGTCACAGGAAGCAGGAGATGGAATTTCTGCAGGGTCTGCCTCATCTGTGTAGTCAGTCGTGTGTTTTTCTGCAGCTGCCACATCTATTGGCGAGGCTGCAGTGTCCAGACGAGGCCCTGGAGCTGCCATGGGGAATGTGAGCCTGCTGTCCTTGTGGGTGCACGTTACAGGCTCCTGCTACGCGCCAGGCACCAGGCTGAGAATTTGTGGCCTGGCCCTGGCCCTTTAAGAGCTTGTGGACAGTGTCCAAAGCATCACAGTCTGGTATGGTGCCGCCTGTCCTTAGGATTTTCACCCAGGGCTTCAGCCACCAGCCCATTGGATGGTTCCAAGATGGTGGTATCTGCCTGTCCCAAAATTCTGCTGCAGCTAATACATAAAGACGAGCCTGGAGGGCCGGGAGCAAGCATCTGCGAGCAGGTGCTAGAGGTACCAGCCCAGGAAGAGAGCCAGGCTGGGCGGGCAGCAGCAGGCAGGTGGCAGGGGTCCGGACGCCCAGGACACAGCAGGGGCTGCCAACCTCTGCTGGTTTGGGAAGTATGGCCTCCGGGGCATGAGCCTTGGGTGGGGATCCCAGGGCGCAGGGAGATCCTGATGTGCATCAGAGGTTGTAGTGGCCAAGAGAGGCAGCAGTGAGCAGGTGTGGCTGCGGGTACTGTCCCCGGGGCCGAGATGGGAGCACTGGGTCCGGTGTGGACGGCGCATCACTGCCAGGTGAGCCTGGTGTCTAAGGACAAAGCAAAGCTTGCCCTTGATGAGGGTGGTGAGAGAGTCAAGGCTCACCAACTTTGTGGCACC